AGTTGCATGAACTTCAATAATCTAAAGTGGTCTGAACACACAAACCCAGGTCCTCCTGGGTAATTGTAGCTGTTTGTTTTCTAGCTCTTGGCTTATTGATGTTTCAAGTAACTTGAAAACATACTGGTCAAGTTTCTTTCTCTCCACGAGCTTTAAGCTTTGTGTTGCTGGAAGATATACTTCCTCTAACATTGCCTGCAATTTTACCTCTTCTCCATACCTTTGCTTTTGGATTCTGCATACTGAAATTCCCTTCTCTAGCATGATAAGCTGGTTTTAATTTAGAAAAAGGATTGGCAATATTTTTCAATAGGAACTTTTAAAATGGGGATAGGGCAAGATTCACTGATACAATAAAGTGAATGTAAAAAATAAATAAATAAAGTGCTCCAAAATTATTTGCCTTTTTTTTTTTAAAGATTTTATTTATTTATTTGACAGAGAGAGATCACAAGCAGGCAGAGAGGCAGGCAGAGAGAGAGAGGAGGAAGCAGGCTCCCCGCTGAGCAGAGAGCCTGATGCAGGGCTCGATTCCAGGACCCTGAGATCATGACCCGAGCCGAAGGCAGCGGCTTAACCCACTGAGCCACCCAGGCGCCCCTTATTTGCCTTTTTCATCAGCTTCACCAACCTCTTTCTTTCCTTCCTTCCTTCCTGGTAGCTACATAAGCTAATCTTGTGTCCATCTGAAATCAGTGTTGTAATGACTAACAAAATATCATCACAAGGTAAAATATTTCTTTTCTGAAGGAATGAAAACTGGCATCCTGAACATTTGAACTAAAGATTAATTCTGAATACTTTATTTTTTTAATTTTTAAAAAATCTTACTACTTTAAATTAAATTTATTACATTTAATTTTCTCAAATCAATTATTGCATCAAATTAATTGACCTGGATTAGTTTCTGAATATTTGGAATATACATATGTGATTTAAACAGAAGTTTTAAGGATTACTAATTTACCTGTGTTGAGTTATTACAGATAATAAAGTTTGCCATTTCACTTCAGTCCATTTTGAGAAAGCTCTAATTTGTAAATTAATTCCAGGATTTTTTAGTACTTTCTCCTAAGACTTTATTTTTACCAGTAGTAATATAAAAGGAAAAAAAAGCCACATAAATTTTTAAATATAAACCAGTATCTAAAATACATTAGAATAAATACATTAGAATTCCTAGAATCTAAAATAAATACATTAGAATAGATTGTGAGTGGGTGGAGAAAATTGTAATTGCACATATTAGGAAAATTATATTCCAAATGTCAAGTAAAGTAAAAAAATCAAATGGAATTTTAAGAATTCTGAATATGCTTTATTCAAGGAGTGATACAGAAGATATATTCGAGGTGATATATTCAAGGTGATATAAAAGAGAATCTTATTCTTCTCTCGGTTCCATATCAAATACACCAATTAACATGTTATACACTCAGAATTATGTAGGAACAGGTTCAGGATAGAAGAGAGAAATCAGGAAAGAATAGTATGTGTGTTTGTGTGTGCATATTTGTATGTTTGGGTGGTGAGCTCTTCAGATGGCAGAGAGTTTCATTCCCTAATCAGTTTTAGTAAACTCTTCACACAAATTGAAAAGGACGTTGGGATGCTGGGTAAACAATCACGTAGATTACATAATCATGTTTTCTTGAGACACGGAAGACAGAATCTTTTTTTGCACTAACATGAAGTGTTCCCGTATTCTTTTAATAGAGTAAAAGTGGACAATGTCACAGAAACTGTTGTTCCCTTGTACATTGAAATGTTTGGTTATTTTGCACCGCAAATGTACTCTAAACAGGATTGTGAGTTTAAAAAGGGGCTTCTCTTGTTCACAGCCACTTTAAATGTTAACATAATGAATTACCTCAAGAAGATCAAATTTCAAAATAGTGTTTTGATACAATTCAGTCGATCTGGTATCTATTAGTTGAATTTGTTCACTTCTTTGCATGGCTCTGAGGATTTCTATGGAAATATCCTGTACTGAGAAGCCTTGGACTGTACAGAATGCATTTTTATTGCTCATGCAATTTAGATATAGTAATATTATTACCGATATGAAATATTATGTAGGAAGAGATGAAGTTTTCTAAAATATAATGTGATTTTGAACATTCTCATTGTAAAATTTTTACAAGCACATCCCTATATATAAGTACACCCATATACAAAAATCCATTTTTCTTTCTTTAAATGGAGCTATATTATGGAGATTAAAATATCAGTGTTATAGAAAATCATTAATAATAGATATCTTTTCATTACCCTCACCAGGAAGAAATTGATTTTTTTCTAGGGAACATTCAGAAAACAATTCGTTGATAGAAAACCATTCCCAAGACCAGAATATCACCTCCAAAATGTTAAACTTTTCTCCTTATTAATTTTCACAAAGGATACAAATATACCACCAAATGTACTTTGGATCCTTTATTAGAAAAAAAAAAAGGAGACATATGCATCTTTGAATCACGTCTTTGGCTTCATGTATAATTACTTAAATTGGAGTATGTGCTTAGAATGCAACAAAAAGAGAAGTGGATTTAGACAGAAAAAGTGATTCAGGCAGAATTGTTCTACAAGAGAAAAGCATCTCTAAAAATCAATACAATGTTTGAATTAATCTGATTTCTTTATTATATCTCTATAGATGAGAAATTTCTTTAGAAATGTGACAGGCTGGTGCCTAATTAACTCATCAGAAAACAAGTTTTCATTGGGTGTGGCATAAAATTAGGAGAAAGGTTGAAGATACACCCTCCAGTAAGGTGAATAGCAAGCACAGATCCAAATATACTTCTCGTTATTTCTAAATCCACCTCAGGCCATAATAAATTACTTGGCATTTTAAAACACTTCCTTTGGTGAAATTTAGAAATATTTAAAAGGCTAAAATTGTTCAATCAGCCTCTTACCAAAAAAAAGAAAAGAAAAAGTTTGTCACTAGTGACAAAGATATGAAAGTTGGAACAGTTAGAAACCTGAATTAGAACAGGAAGAAAGATTGAACCATAAACAATTATATACATTAAATGTATTTCAGTCTGAAGTATACACTGAGTTTTTAAAAGTTAAAGATAAATCTATTAACATTTTATTTTTATTCCAATACTTTGTATTTATATGAATCCCGTGTTTTACTATTAACATATCCCTTCACCTATTAGATCACAACTCTAAATTTTACTAGAGAACTCAGATATATTTTCATATGATTCCCAGCACTGAAATATGTTTGAGATATTCTAATTTGTGTAACCACTTCCGAGGAAGTTTTTGGCAATGTGATAATTTCACTCTTTTAGAAGCTCAGTCACACATCTATCCAAAACTTTTTTTTTTCCTTAATGTAAAAAGAAGCCTGAATTATAACTGAAGTGGGTAGAATTAGGCGTTAGAAAAGATAATTTCTGAAAAGAAAATTAAACTCTTTGACTCCTATCACTTTATAATTCCATACTTTACCTTTTTTTCTGTTAATATCCTTCTTTTAAATATCCAATTATACAAAAAGAATACATGTCAAAGGTGTTTAAATAAAAAATATCTTATTAATTATTATTACACATGTGTTCATAACTAAAACTGAAAATCTTTTGGCTCCTTTTGTGACCCTGACAGAATTCAGGCTAAGAAACAAAACTCAGCTAAAGAAGGAAAAGCTGTAACTTCTCAGACTGAATCTGTCCACAGAACCAGAGATAGTCTCCTCTGAAAAAGGGAAAGACCCAATGGCCCGGATGATCTATGGTCTCTCAATAGCCTTACCACCTTGGGCTACCTTTCTAAGATTTACTCTTGTTTCCAGTGTATCTCTCCATCTCTGGTATTGAATCCAGTTACTTCATTCAGCCCTGTAGGCAGCTGGAAGCCAGTAAGCCCTGACAGGACTCCAGACAGGTTTTGTTCGGTCTGTACGTGGTTGGCCACACAATGTTTTAAAAAGAAGTAGCTTACATTGAACGATGTAAACACATACAGATATGGAACTGCTTCTGAAAAACTGGAACTTTAGGTAAGCTGTGACCTGTTTGCACATGGCAGCAGTTAGTTTGTATGAATCTGGTCAGAGACCAGACATGTATCTCCAGTTTTCTATAGTTTTCTATTCCTTATTGTCTTACTGACCTCAACACAAAGGACAGGTTACTCACTCTTTAACTGCTCAGCTTCAATAAATACCCTTTGTGTTATACTCAGCTGGAGGGAATTTGACTGAGAGACTTTTGATTCAGTGGTTTCTTTCTGGGCTTTATCTTGGAGCCAAATTTACTTGACTGATACCTCGATTCTGTTTCCAGATTTGGGTCCTTACCTCAATCCTCAACTTTTTCTTTTTTCTTTTTTTTTTTTTTTGGCTTCATACTTCATTTCCTCTCTCCAACCAGTTTTATTAGAATGTTCCATATTCTGGTTAACTTTTTGTTAACTTTTAGATTTTAATTATTTCTCCCTACCTTCCTTAATATGTAGGTAAAAACATGACCACTGTAGAACATAGATGTTGCTTTTTTAAAAAGAAAGAAAATTATAGGAAAGTAGGTATAACTTCATGGAAGTAACATTAAGGAAAGATTCCTGGGAATACCTCATACTAAAATATTTTGTTGCAGAGGTTTTACTTAAAATACTCTTTGTTTAAGCAAAGGTTTAGAGAAATAAATTTATGACACTGTATGGTATTAATCTCCTGTGACAAAGACTTCTCATTTGTCTTTTCCTCAAGAATACTGTTTTCTATGAAATATGCAATTGTTTCAGAATCCAGTGTCAAAGTCCAAATGTATTTTTTTTTTCTAATGGCATTTTTCAATAAAGCACAACAAGTTACAGGTTTGAAATGCATATTGACTGTTTGTGGCAAAAAAATTCTTGCTTTCTCAATAACTGATATGGTTATGGTTGAAAGAAAAGGCAGGTTATAGGTTCTTGAACTTCCATTAAACTGTGAATAATTTAATAGTGTGGTTGGATTGTTCCACAAATGGACTCACCCTGACAATGCAGTCCTTCATCATACCCATCTGAGCAGTCCAAGACACCATTGCACAGTTGGGATAAATGAACACATTTGTTGGTACCAAGGCAAGCAATGTGATTCAAGGGGCACTTGAGTTCTACCTCTTCAGGACCTGAAAAACAAAAATGTAAAAATGGGTTAGTTTGGCTTTTAATACTAAAACCATTAAGCACAAGAAATTACCAGCCTTAATTTACAAGACAAAACTATAGAAAATAACTACCAGAGGGCAGCTCTGATTCTCAGGAATGTCCAAATTAGCCCACGTGGTTAAAAACCTATTTTTTAAAAACTGCATAGGATATAAAATAGTATGTATTTGAGGGTGTCTGGGTGGCTCAGTGGGTTAAAGCCTCTGCCTTTGGCTCAGAGTCCTGGGATCGAGCCCTGCATCGGGCTCTCTGCTCAGCAGGGAGCCTGCTTCCTCCTCTCTCTCTGCCTGCTTCTCTGCCTACTTGTGATCTCTTTCTCTCTGTGTTAAATAAATAAATAAAATCTTTAAAAAAATAGTATGTGTTTTTTCCAAATAATACAAATAATACATTAAAAGACACGAATATTCTTTTCAAACTTTAAGTGGCATAGACTTAAAATCTGATGGCTGCTTTGCGTCATTAATTTACCTCTTATCTTTAGATTAAGTGGGCCAGGTACTTAAACACTGTACATCTCAATTTCCTCAACTGGGAAATATGGAGAGTTCCAACTCCTTGGCAGAACTCTTGTTAGAATTGAATCGGGTAACAAGAACAAAAAGATTTTAGTGGAATTTAAATGAAGCTCTGTCAATCTAAAATTATTTCATTTTTATTAAGAATAGCTAGTTATATACTTATTTACTTTATTTTAAGTAAATATGTATATTTTTATATATATATAATAGTATATAACAGCTAGTTATATACTTACATATGGATATTTTTGTTTAAAAACATCTTTACTGAGCAATTACAAGACAACAGAATTTACTAAGGAGTGGGGAAGTGATGATGAACAAAGCATACTTATTGAGTTCTCCTGCTGATGATAATAGTACATTACATGATCACCCTTTGCGTTTTTATAGATACACTTAGGTTGGAATACCAAGTCTTCTGAAGCTCACCAATTCTGAACTGTCATCCAACATCCAAATTGTACACTGCTATATCTAAAGTTCAGGTTGTTTACTCCCATACCTTATTTACACTTCTTCGATAGGCACTCTCCAAATTTGCCATGCCGTGATTCTTAATCTTGCCCAGCTCTCCTAAATCCAAGTGCAGGCATGCCATATGACTGCAATCCAATGTTAATCTGACACTGATTACTACAAGAGCCCAGATTCTATAGTCAGGCACACTTAGAATTTAATCACAGCAATGTTAATACCCATGGGACATTAATTTATTAAAGCAGCTAAGCATTAATTTTCTCATGTATAAATAAAACTATCAACTGAGTTTACCTTGTAGGCTTGTTGTGAATGTCAAAAGTTATTGATGGCAAAGCACTAAACTTTGTGAGCTTCTTTGTGAGATGTGGGCTCAGAATAGGAATTCAACATGTGTTAATTATGTAAAAAAATGCAGCAGACTGAACTGTTAACAGACTCTGGAGCCAGATTCTTGGTCTCATCATTTATAAACAATAAGTTGAAAAAATTATGTATATTTTCTGTGCTTCATCAGGTTGTTGTAGGGATTGTATCAAAAGCTTTTAGCATCTTTACCAACACACACTAGTGTTTCCTTTTTTTTTTTTTTAAAGTTTATTTATTTATTGAAAGACAGCAATTGAGAGAGCACAAGTAGGGTGTAGGGCAGAGGGAGAAGCAGACTCACCACTGAGCAGGGAGTGCAAGGTGAGACTCAATTCTGGGACTCCAGGATCATGACCTGAGCCACAGGCAGACGCTTAACTAACTGAGCCACCCAGGCACCCCTGCCTTTTCATAAACACTTAAATTACATAACTTCCTTTTATATCTTAAGATTCCTCTCCCCACAAAGCCGGACTTGCCAAAAGTAAGATACATTTTGAAATATCTTCTCAAAATGAGTGATGGGTATATGTGATTTTGTTGATGCTAAAACAGCTTTCAACATTTTGTATCTGGGGGATATAAATACATTGTTATGATAGAGCTTCAATAGATCAAGTACTGGCTAACTGGTATTTTTTTGCATGTATATTTATACAGTTACTGACATATAAGTCTATTAGTTTTGTCTAATGCCCATCACTCCAAATCCACAACTCATTTTATTGCAACATGTCTCTGTAACTTGAATATCAATATATTTTAAAACATACATTATATAAAAAATATATATATAAATATGCATATATAATACCTATATAGAAAATATATATATAATACAAATACACAAATTTAAATCCAAATTATAGAAATAAAGTAAGTGAAACTCTTTTCACTGAGACTTTCTAATATTAAATCTTTTATTTATAAGATTAACATAAATTCACTTTAAAAATTAAATTGAAAAATATAAGTTAGTTTTGAAAAACTATACATTTCTATGACCAAGAGTCACAATGCAGTTCTTTTTAAAATTAATTGGCTGATTCTTAGAAATTTGAGAATATATATCCTTGCATGAATGTCAAAGTAGTGTTTAGGCCAGATATATTTAGATCTCTCTGTAAAAATTCCAAAAATAGCCCACAGAAAGAACACTTCAAACCTGGGAGCCTAGAAATTTTACAGAGGCCAAAGATGACTCAGTAGTTCTTTTTAAAAGCAAGTTTTTTGTTTGTTTGTTTGTTTTAAGTAATATATGTATTGGTTCAAATCAAAGTTTTTGGGTATTTTTGGTTGTTTTGTTTTGTTTTGTTCTGTTTTTGCATCCTTAAGATTGTCAGGTCACTGATTAACATGATAGAGGGAGTGAAATGCACATCTGGCATTCACAAAACAAATTTTGAGAAAAGAGAAAAAAATGTTCGAATTTCTCAGAAGCAGTATACAAAACTAGTAGATTCTTCCTAGTGGTAACATGTAGGGATAAAAAAGAAATTTGTTTGGATGAAAGAAAGAGCTAAGTAGTTTCTTCATAGACTAGAGACTATAGTCTTCCTCACCTTTAACATACTCTTTTCTTAACTTCCATCACTGCTGGGTAACTGATAAGACAGCTGGCACATGGCTTGAAGGATTGTACCTTAACCAGTCCTTCCCAAATCATCATATCAAAGCACATTAAAGCAATGATAATATTTGCAAATTACACAAAAGTAAATAGCATAAGTTATTTATAGAGATTACCCCAGGCCTTGGGAATTAACCTCAAAATTGAAGGTATCAGCATTGCAAACCCTTTTGACCAGTAATGGGATACTTCAGTTGGAAAATGCTAACTTCAGTATTTTGTCGTTGTCTTTTTGGAAGATGTGGGCAGTTTAAGAAACAGCAATGTTCTTAACTGAAATTATCCCAGGAACCAGGCAATATGGGTATTCAGTGTATGGTTGCTTTGAGAAATAATCCATCCTTGATTCCCAATGATCATTTGTGTGGTAAATGTGTGCTTATTCTATGAGGCTCCTTTAGTCTACCTTGTAAATGAAGAAAAGACTCAACTAGATCACCAATTCTACCCAATAATCTGTGTGACAGGGAGAAGATTGGGATCATTGAGACGACATGAATTCCTAAGACTATGTCAATGTTGCAAAAAATGATTCATCTCATGAAAACCCTGGGCATTCAAGACATTTCACAACCAGAAGTCATAATCTGGACCTAGCAAGCAACAGGGTCAGAAGCTACCTGACATAATTGGAATTATCTCTTCAGTTACTGAAACGTTAGGATTTGGGGGATCTGAGAGAAGGACTGGGTGACAAGGAAGCACATGAGGAATTTCATAATAGTACAAACACACTTCAGAATTTAACAAGCATAGTAGTCTTGGATTATCACTTCAGTTTTCAGTAATGCATAGTCAGAACACTTCCAGTCTCTCAAATCTAATTTTAGGTGACCTGAACAAGGTAGCAGAATTTAAAATATAGTAATTAATTATAAGAAAGAGAAGCTCTATCATTAGAAGGACTTAAAACAGATAAACACAGGAAAATAGTATTCATGTTTTTAAATTTTTATAAGCCTTATCCAGTTAGTTGAAATAGGCTTCATTTTTTAAACTGAACCTCATTTTACAAACAAGATTTCTAGTATAATGCAAGGGCAATGTGACTCATCTCTTTGTTTTTGAAAGTCTAGTTTATTTTTATATATAAACATTTTACTCTGTTCAGTAAAAAAAAAAAAAAATGGTTAAAGAGATATTAAGCCTCATCAAATGTCTTTTCTGACTAAAGATAATTGTGATAGCACATTTTGGGGAGGGATAGAGATTTTTCTTCGGTAATGGTAGATACAGTCATTTATCCACACTTGTCATTGTTTCATCATATCTCATCAGGACCAGCATCAATCCTCCCCTCAAAGCTAATATCTCCACCTTACGCTCTATCACATCCCACTTGAGTTTTGTCCTATCAATATTTGCTGTTTGTTTTTATTTCCCATTTCTGTCTTTCCAATGGTTCTAAATCCTCTGTCTATAATCTCATTCAGTTTTCTTAGCCACCACTCAAGAACAAAGTCACTTTTGCTGATTGAACTTTCCTGCAAATGACATCCTTTCTTTCCTAATTTTTTTAACTGTTAAATTTCTCCAAAATAGAGACCACACCTGCTGTATTCCCGCTCCCTTCTCACTCCTGCCTCTGCTTCCATCACTGTTGAGATGCTTTTTGCCAACGTCTCCCTGATCCCACTAATAGGGAAGCCAGAGGCAAAGAGTATCTGTCAAAAGCTGACCAGAATTCCTCTCATAGACACACTTTCTCTCATTATTTCTCATGCCTTTTATTATTATGGTTGTTGTTATTTATGCAGTTCCATGAGCACACTTGGATGCATTCACACAGGCTCTTTGATCAACTTCCCACTATCTCTGCCTGAAAAACACAAACACGCTGTACACTGCCTGACTCAAAATACAATTGCTGAAAGAATGTTCAGTGCATTTTAACTCCTGGCTAATTTCCACTTTCTTCTATATGCAAGGAGTTAACTTTTCCTACCATCAATATATTCTC